CGAGAATTCAATACATTTTTTATATTTTTATGTATTTATTATTTTTTAAAAATATTTTTTCATAATTTTTTTATTTTTTAGATACATCTAAGTAAGGTGTATCTAAAAAAATAAAAAAAATATTTAAAATTTAAAAAATATTCACTAAAAACAAAAAAATACGTTTAAAAAATTTAATTTAAAAAATTCAAACCAAGCTCCGACAAACAGCGCCTTTTTGAGCTGTACAATAGTTTCACTTTTTCAACATGTTTGTCAATGTTGACATACCGACAAAATCCATCCAAATATCTGTCATAAAGTAGTCGTTTTGGCATGTGGATTAGGACAAGGGGTGCCTGCTGTGCTTTAAGCACAGCAGGCTGTGCCGCACAGCATCAGCCATCAAACTTCTCTTTTTCTCTTTCGTTTCCCACCTGCATCACGTTTCAAAAAAGTTTTTTTTTTTTTGGATAGCGTGTTAGCAGTCAAAAATTAAGATTTTGTTTGGTTGTTAATTCAAACTAAATTTTAACAGGTGGGCTCGCGCATGATGTTTGGATACGACGTTCAAAAATTGATTTCGCGTATTAATTCAAATTATATTTTGAAAATTTGTTTGGCAGCTTGTATCTCTCTTTCAACGTTTCTGCCTTCTTCATTGTCTCTGCAACTTTCACGTGAAGTTCATCTACATTAGTCCTTCATATTCATCACGGATAGCTTCTCTGTATCAAACATCCGTACTTCAAATTCATCACGGATGGGTTTCAGACGCATTTTATAAATAATGAATCCATCCAACCCGCTCTGTACTGGTATCATATTTCACAAATCGATTGAATTACGATTTGTGCGCTGCGGACGATTCTTATTACGGGTAACCAAACAACGACGACTGCGAGGTGAAATTACTCACAAATTTATTTACATATTTTGTTATAGGAAAATTATTTGAGAAATTCATCTTAATTTATTTTTAATTTTTTTTCAGGTCAAATTTATCAAATTTATTGTCGAATCTGACGAGCAAACAGTAGCACATTCAATCAGTATACACATTCTGTCACCGGCGATAACTATTCAACTCCCACTGATCTGGTAAATAAATCCTTCATCCTTCATCTATTATCTGAAAATAAATCATTCATTCTTCATCTGTTATCTAAACATTTTTCTCCACCTTTCACATGTCACATCAAACTTTCAAAACTTAATTCAAAATACATCTTCAAAACACAATTCAACACTCTATTTAAAAATCATAACCAAACAAATTTTCTACATTCAAATCATAATTCTATAACCCATAGGGTAATGATACATCCCACTAAAAGTGGTGCTCTAAAGCACCACTAATGAGTTGGCAAGCACTTTAAATAAATAAATAAATAAAAAACAAGACACAAGCAGTAGGCCCCGTCCACTGCCACATCACTAGTGATAACCCATAAACTTAAAACAGAACTCATACTCTCAAATCACATTTACAACACACAACCAAACGTAGGCTAAGTTTTTGACTCATTTTGAATCACATTATTGTTTATATTTTTTACACATTTTTAAAGAAAAAGTTAAAAAAATTAAAAAATTAATTTTTAACTATCTTTCTAAAATCCTTCAAAATCTTGCATACGGAAATAATAATAAACAAAAGAAGATAATGAAACAAAATAAACAAAATACTAGAATCAATAATTATGAGATTAAAAGTCTTATTAAGAGAAGTATTGTGAAAACACAATGACATTATTTCATTAGAATAAAAATCCTAATAATTTAATTTAATTATAATATTATTGATATCCGATTAATTTAAAATTTTACTGAGATATGTTATTTAACGTATCCTAAATAGTGAATGGTCCAGGATATCGAGATAAGACCCAGAGTGGATTTCATTATGCGCATACCAATGACTATTGTACAATAGTTACACTTTATCATAGTAAAACATAGTGACTTACTTTTATTAAATAGTTGAGACCAGGAAGTTTTTAATTTGTCGAGAGCACAGCACCATATATGTAATGCCACAAGCTATCTTATAAAATTTTTCGGTTCGCAATTGATTTAGAATAATACATAAACAGTATCACATAAGTTCTGAGACTATTTAATAATTACTCTCAACACATCATGCACTGAATCAACCAGCTAAAACAAATAAAAAAGTTATTTATAATTTTTATATAAAATTACTGTAAGATTCTGAATAAACTTGTATATTCAATTATGTTGTGTTATAAAGTAGTCACTAGTTTATATAGCCCTAAGCTATGGTTGAACAAGGAAAGATTGAGAAAGGAAATACGCCTATATGCCTAATTTACACCTAATTCTTAATATACACAATGCCATAAATACACACAATGCCATATATACACAATATATTCTCACACCCCCGCTCAAACTCAAGGTGTTTGAGCAGAAAACACTGAGAGTTTGCTAAGAAGAAATTGAAACCAAACGGTAGTGTGAGTCTTGGTGAAGAAGTCCGCAAGTTGCAAAGCCGAGGAGACGAAAGGTAGCAAGATAGTGCAAGATTGCAGATGCTGTCGTACAAAGTGACAATCAACCTCAATGTGTTTTGTCCGTTCATGGAAGACAATGTTGTGGGCAATCTGAATAGCACTGCGGTTGTTAGAATAGAGAGAGGTTGGAGAAGACTAAGATACACCCAAATCAGAGAGAAGATAACGAAGCCAAACAAGCTCAGCAATAGCATAACCCATAGCATGGTACTCAGCTTCGGCATTAGAGTGAATAACAACAGTTTGTTTTTTGCTTTTCCAAAAGATCAAGGAATCACCAAGAAACATGCAAAACTCAGAGGTGGACTTGCGATCATTAACATCACAAGCCTAATCAAAATCAGCATAGGCCACCAAATCTAAAGAGGAAGTAGAGGACAACAGTAAGCCCTGAAAGATGGTACCCCGAAGATAGCAAAGAATGCGAACCAAAGTAGCCCAATGGGTAGAGCGAGAAGCAAAAACAAACTGACTAACCACATGAACAACATAAGCAAGGTTAGGGCGAGTGACAGTCAAATAAACTAAAAACCCACAAGCTCACGATAGAACGTGGGATCATCCAGAGAGACACCATCAGTAGAGCTAAGTTTTACATTAAGCTCAATAGCTGTATCAGAAACCTTAGTATCAGTAAAACCAGCACGGTGAATAACCTCATTAACATACTTGGCCTGAGACAGAAAATAACCCTTTGGAAAAGAGGCAACCTCAATACCAACAAAATACCGCAAATGACCCAGATCCTTCATTTCGACGGTGCAGGAGAGATGTTACTTGACCTCAGAGATAGTAGAAAAGTCAAAACCAGTGATGATCATATCATCCAGATAGAGGAGGAGAGCAACAAAACCAGCTGAGGTATGTCTCAGAAACAAAACAGAGTCGGAAGCAGAAGGATGAAACCCAAGCTCGGTAACAGCAGTCTGAAAGCGATCATACCAAGCATGAGGAGACTGCTTCAAACCATACAATGCACGCTGAAGATGACAAACCTTCCCAGAGGAGTGGAGAAGACCAGGGGGAGGACGCATGTAAACCTCCTCAGTGAGATGACCGTTAAGAAAAGCATTCTTAACATCTATCTAGTAAAGAGGCCAACGGCAAACAGCAACAACAGAAATCAAGATACAGACAGCAGTCATCTTGGCAACAGGGACAAATGTCTCCTCATAATCAATACCATACTCCTACGAGAAACTCTTGGCAACTAAGCGAACTTTGTAGCGCTCAAGAGAACCATCAGAATGAGTCTTGACTTTATAGACCCATTTGCAATCGACCAGATTCTTGCTAGCAGGCGAAGGAACCAACTCCCAAATGTTAGTCTTTTGCAAGGCAAACAACTCATCCTCCATAGCTTGAACTCAATTAGGATCCTGATAGGCCTCCGTGTGAGACTAAGGTTTTGAAAAGAATGAATAACAGACAAAAAAGTACGATAGGAAGCAGAAAAACATGTATTAGACCAACCCAACCTGTTTGGAGGACAATGCTCATTAGTAGGATATCGGTGTGCAACAGGATCAAAGTCATCAAAAGTAGAAGGAGCAGCAACAAAAGTAGAGACAACTGGTGGCGGGAGAGCCTTGCGATGAGAATAGACCAACAACGGAGGGAAAGAAAAAGCCGAAGGAGAAGGAGCTATGGGTGACGCAGACGGAGAAGTAGGAATGACCTAAAGAGGAACAGTAGAAATGTACTCATCAGACGGAACCTCTGAAGGAAATGGGTCAATGTGAACCAAATCCTCTTTGGAAACGGGAGCAGTGAGGGGGGAAACTGAAAGTGAGACAGACGTTCGAGAAAGGCAACATGACGGGAGACATAAAGGCGATGAGAGACAGGATCGTAACAGCGGTAGCCTTTCTGAGTAAAACTGCAACCCAAAAAGACACACAAGACAAACCTGGCACTGAGTTTGGTACTATCTTTACGAGAAAGAAGGACAAAACAAGTAGACCCAAAGACACATAAGAGGGAATAATTGGGAGGTTGGGAATACAGAGCCTTATAAAGGGGTTGACCGGAGAGTAGGGGAGTCGGCATGCGATTAAGGAGGAAGGCAGTGGTAAGAACTGCCTCACCCTAGAATGGTGCCAGAACAAAGGCAGAGAGAACGAGAGATCGAGCTGTCTCAAGGAGATGACGGTGTTTACGCTCAGCACGACCATTTTGGGCAGGGGTATTAGTACAGGAGGTTTAGTGAATGGTGACCAATGTAGCTAAATACTCACAGAATTCAGTTTTAAAGTGTTCCCCACCCAAGTCAGACCGGACTATTTTAATTGTGGCTCCAAACTGTACAGTGATCATATACTGAAAGGTACGATATATCTAGTAGAAGTCAGATTTATGAGCCATAAAATAAACCCAGGTATAGCGGGTATAATCATCAACAAATGACACATAGTACGCAGAACCCCCTTTAGTGAGAATAGGAGAAGGTCCCCAGACATCAGTCTGTACAAAAAAAAAAAGGGGGAAGTAGAAATAGAAGTACTGTTATTAAAAGGTACAGCTGTCATTTTAGCAAGTTTACATCCTTGACACTCATCAATTTAACTAAGAGAAACTTTACCTAACAATCCTGACTGAGTTAAAAACCGCAAACGGTCAACAGATAAATGACCTAAGCGAGAATGCCATAAATAAAACTGACTTGACTCAGAATCTAATTAAAAAGATGAAAGTGCAACGGGAGAGGTAGACAGAGGAAGATGCAGGTTTTCCACCATACAGAGATCTCCAACTCTACGGCTGATCTCAATCTTCTTTTTGGACACCCGATCCTACACACAACAGACAGAAAAAGAAAAGATAACATCAAAACCAGAAGCATCAAGCTAACTAATAGAAAGCAAGCTAACAAACAATTGTGGAACATAAAGAACAGAGAGAATAGTAACAACGGACATGGCAAAGGATAAGACAGACCCAATAGATAAGACAGACATACTAGACCCATTAGCAGTATTAATAGTAATAGGAAAGGGAGGGGGGATACAGTTTTCGAGTAAGGAAAGGTGAGGAGTCCTATGATAAGAGGCACCAGAATCGAAAAGCCGGATAGAGTAAGGAATACCTGAAGAGGACCCAAGCAAACCTGAAGAAAGAGAGGTGAGAGCAGAGGCAGATGAAGATGATTGAGAGGTGGGCAAGTGATCTGTTGAAGTTGAGCAAGCTGAATACTCAATGAAGCCAAATCAGGACCTGGAGTCGAAGCCAAAGCCGGAATGTAGGCAATATAAACAGCGGGAGGCCGAAAAGACCCCTGAGTAAGAGTGCGGAACTGAGATTGAGACTGCTAAGAAAACGAACGTCCCTTCTTGGGACAGTTATACTTCTAATGACCCTTTTGATGACTAAGAGTCGCCAATAGGGGTGGCTGTGCTAAGAGGACTGAAGGAGACATTATCTAACTGGCCATCTTGAGACGGGTTTCTTTTGAAAGAAGCTCACGAATAATAGCATCCACAGAAGGGAGAGGAGAACGGTGAAGGGTGACACCACGGATAGCCTCGTACGAAGGAGAGAGAGTCGTCAAGAATTGCACCAAACAACCCTCCTCCCTAGACTTCACATAAGCATCGAGGGCTGTAAGACGAGGAGGTTCCATAAGAGCAAGCTAGAGAACCTTGGGGTAAAAGAGTAATAAGCAGAACACTATTGTTATCAATATAGACAACCAGTTATTAGAGATACCAACGCGAATCAATCGCGAAGCAACTGAGAGGGAAAGATATTGTGGTCGGCGAATGCAAAAAGGGAGACACACGATGACGATGCAACGACAACTGTGCTAGGACTAGCGATGCAGAGATGGTTGAGGGAGACAACAGTGCTAAGGCTTGCGAGGCTGAGGGAGACGCCGGTGCTAGGGCTCGCAAGCACACAGACGGTGCTAGGGTTAGGAACCTTACTCTGATACCATGTAAGTTTTCTGAAGAGAACTAACTCGTATATTCAACTGTTATTGTTTACAAAGAGTTCATCGGTCTGAAAAAGGAAATACACAGATTCATTCCTATTTACACCACCACAATTTTGCCTAATTCCTAATATACACAAGTTTGCCATATATACATAATTCTCACACACCATAGTCTAGAAGGGAAACAAAATGGTACGTGACATCTCAAAACAAATAGGAATTATGGTGACATTTATCCCCTTTGATTTAACAAAAAAACAAAAGGCAGAAAAAAATTTACAAGATTGACTTTGAAGCATGTAAAAATATGTAAAATAACACAAAACCAAGAATATATTCACAGAAATATACCTGCCACGTTGGAAATTCTTGTGCCAATCTTCGAGCAAAGGTTCCTGTTACACAAGTCTTCAACATTAATCTATGATGTTCCAAATAAGTCAACAAATTTCCCTTGATAACCAAATACAAAGGTCAAATCAAACCCATGCAAGTCAAAAAGGTCTCTTCAGGACTAACATACATACTAACCCGGAAACAAGATCTGTCACTTTTCACTTCTAATAACAATTCTAATTCAAACAAGATTGTTTGAAGTCTAATTAAATTAACAATTAAAGTCATGTCATTAGGATAGTGCATGCTCAACAGGAATTTTTTTTAAAATAAAAATAATAAATAAAAAAAGAAGCTAATTTGTCTTATCAAAATATTGAGTTGAGAACATGGACAGAAGGAAGGTCGGGCACACATGACATAATCATATAACACTGTATCGTGCAGTCTGGGTTTTTTCACAATCACAGGTAGAGAACTGAAATCCAAGACTGCTTTTGGAATAGTTGCAAAAGATAATAAAGTACCTACCCCAGTTCTTCCTGCTACCTAGAATGCCATGCAGAAGAACAGCTGTTGGCGGATCAGGTACTGACTTGTCCATAATATAACTCCATCTTACCTGTGCACCAAAATTATTTTACATATATAACCATGCCCAATAAAATTAACTAGGAGTAAGTTACCAATATTTTCAGCAGAAAAACGTCTTTGTATGTCATGTCATAAATGAAAGAAAAAAATTATTAAATAAAAGAAGTACAAAAGGATACAAGAAAGGACAAGAAGTCCACCAAAATACCCTTAATTCAGAAATAACAATAAAACATACGATTATCAAAGCGTTGAGCTACGAGGTGTGAAAACAGTTTCCTTCTAACTTACACACTACTCAAAATGTACCATGTCTTTTAACTTTTTTCTATACAGTTTTATGGCAGTATATCAAACAGTCACATCACATTCTTCAGGAATTGATCATCCCAGAATTCAACATATGAAAACTGGGAATATACTTGCCTAAAATGAACAGATGGACTTCACATCACATTCTTCAGGAATTGATCATCCCAGAATTCAACATATGAAAACTGGGAATATACTTGTCTAAAATGAACAGATGGACTTCAACCCCTGCAGCAGTTTCCATGTTTACCAACCTCAACTATTACCTTGCTATGGTCAGAAAGTATATTTCCATCGTTCATTGTTACAGAAAATAAAGAGAATATGGACTTACAAATTAAAATGTAACTAAGAATGGCTAATATTTGCCTCATTAGTCATGGTTCATAGCAAATTTATTATTATTAGATATTAGGAGAGTATTTGTCTCATTATGTCACATTATGAATAGTGTAAATTCATATTAATAGCAATTTGAAACTGGTGAATCTCTATTTCATTTAAGCACTATTGTAAAGCTGCCTATCAGCAGAATATTCAACATTTCAAGGCAAAACTAAGCAAATCTGCAACATTTTATATCATAAATAATAAAATTTCTGAAAGCATGTCAACAAGGAGATAAATCTGTAAGGGAGTTCTAGATTACTCTGACAGGTAAGACAAACATTCATCTTCGGAGAATCCAAAATGGACAGAAAACAATTCATATCTCTGTAAGGGACTGATAGATTGGTCTGTGAGGGAAAATATATGACTTACATGTGCTCCTTGAACAAGATCGTACGCCTGCATTAAAAACATGTAAAAAATAAAAGGCAAGATCCAAAATAGGCCGAAATACAGTTCAAACAAAATCAAGCTTCCCCAAGCCTTGCAGCTTGACACTTCTTTTACTGAACTAGACTAATGAATGAAGGGAAGTTTCAATACCAAGATATCGGAAGGCCTGACATCTCTACCATGTGCAATCCTCTCATCTACTAATGTCATACCAATTTTTGAACCTTTAGCAGCCTTCGTTGAGTGACTAAGGCATAACCGAGAGATGTGGAATACGCCATTCTATGACTCAGAGAGAGAGAGAGAGAGAGAGAGAGAGAGAGTTAAGACAAAAAAATGATCCACATCAAGTGTCAATTTTAATCCTTCCTCACCATATATTGGTTACATAAACTAAACTAAACATAAGATTGACATGAACCATAAATTTAGTGTAAAATTTCATGTTGAAATTTGAAACTGGCTAAAATTGGTTTTATCATCTAAATATCATGATTAGACCAAACCCTTATTTGGTTGATCATACAACTAGATAAACTAAAAAATAAAATAAAATAAATAAAATCCAAATTAATTAAAATAATTATGAGTATAACATTCCAATCCCCTCAAAATCAACCTTGCCCTCAAGGTTGGAAATACAAAAATATTACAAAATCCGCCCGAATCCCATACATTTACAAATGTATCAAAATATAACTAAGAGACGTATTACTACTACCTGTGGTGGAGTCAGCACATGCTTAGGAGGGGCCCGTGCCCCCTCTGAAAATTTTTAAACTCAAAAATATTTACAGCAAATCAATGAAATAAATACCTAAAAGAATCATCTCTCTTTCAGGTGATGTTATGCTCTCACTTAGGCTTGTTTTCTATCTCACTCTTAAGTGATGCAATCTTCTTTATTATTTTGCTTTCTTTCTCACTCTCAGGTGGTGCAATTTTCTTTATTATTCTTAATGTTTAATCTTCTTTATTGACATGTTGAATTCAATGTTTAAGATTTGGGTAAAAAATTAGGGTCTATTGATTTTGTTGAATTATGTTGGGTTATTGTTGAATTTTGATAAATATATATATATATATATATACTGAATTTATAAATTTGTGGTTTGTTGAATTAGGACATTTCAACCTAATTTATTGAATTTCTAATACTGTTGATTTTTTGATTGGTGATTTCCATTATTTCAATTTATCAATATAATTTCTTGTCTATTTAGTTACTTCAGTATATATGATTAGTCATTCTTCTATAAAAGACAAAAGCTTCTGGTTAAGTGTTCCCCCTCTACCCTACCAACCCACAACTGAATTCTGGCTTGGCCACTGACTACTACAATAGCTATAACATATCTATTAATCCTAACTGCTAGATAACTCAAACTATAAAACAAAATCCATTTTTTATTTTTTATGTTTAAATTTAAATAATTATGACTGCAACACAGAGGCTCCATAATTGTCATTAATTATAAATCATTATCCGCAATATACTATCGCTCTGTTTGATTCACTGAGGGATTTGAAAAATGAAAGAGAAAAATTAGGTAAAATATGAATGAAATATAACTATATTTAACAAACATTTTCCCTTTTCGTTTCTAAATCTCTTCCTAAATTCATAGACCAAACAAAACTTATATGAAAAATGTTTGAGATACCTAATTTATCACACCTAAAAATACCCCTAATGATGTGTCAAACATTCCATCACGTAAATTTAACCTCAATACCACATAATTAGGGCGGTTTAGGGGTGGTAAATTGGGGAATGTAGCATTGTTGATAGTATACTATCTATAATTTTTATTACTATTCTCATTATTGAACTTACAAAAATAACCCAACACCCCCGATTTGCCCCGCCACGATATGATATGTGGCAGGCAGATTAATACAAACCCCCTCCAAATCCAACCAAACCAAATCCCCAAAACCCACACAAGGCAGGCACAGAGAGCACAATGCAAGTTAAAATGTCAATTGAACCAAATGAGAGAAGTAAACTAACAAATACATACAATAATATTGTATATTGGGACGGTGATGTGATGGTACCTCGAAACACCTCGAAACCTTGAAAGCCATTGTGGGCACCATTCGATTGATCCCAGAAACGGACCCAATGCCTAGAAATCCATTGTCTGCTAAAGCAACCGATGATTCGGCCCCAAAATTTGAAATCACCGACGACATTTCACCACCAAAACCAACAACAGGTCCTTTCGATTCTTTATTGGTTCTGTGACTTATGTATATTTATGCTGAATCAAAATACAAGTTCAATTGTTGAATTTGAATTGGAGAGATGTTGTCGGAGATCAAACAAAGAGTGTTTCAGAGATTTAGGATGAGAGAGAGAGGGTTTGAGCAGGGTGACGGAGACACCGAAGCGTACGGTGGTGTTGGGTGTGGGGAGTGTCTCTTTCTCAGTTTTTGTGGCTCGCGGACATGGAAGTGACGTGGTGCGGTGCGGTGTGGTGTGGTGTGGTGTGGTGTGCAAGTAAACGGATCGATGGGCTGGTGGTGATGGTAGTTCGGCGGAGATTACGTGGCTACGCTACCCATCTCTCGTAAAAAAATGCAATCAATCTCACCATCTTTTGTTTCATTTAAATTTGAGTAAAAATTTGAATAAATTTTTTCTTTTTTTTTTTATATCAAATGTTTTAATAGAGTTTCATCAAATGTTTTAATAGAGTTTCATCAAATTATCAATCAGTTGGGCGGAAAGATGCCTTGCCAATCGATTGGGTAGTGTAAATTTTAATCGATTAGTATAAATTTTCAAAAATGGTAGAGGTTCTAAAAATTCTATCAAAAATTTTATCAAATGTGGGTGTGGGACCCACACACCCATGTAAGATATTTGGTAAAACTTTTAGTAGAATATTTGGGATCTCTAGCATTACTCTAAATTTTTGTCCTTAGATAGTCGTATGGAGACACGTGGGAAATATTTAGTAGTGAAAATTTGACGGTAATAAATAGTAATTTGATAAAAGATACATTTGACCTCAATCTGATAAAAATTTGAGAAATCCTATACTTGATAATCTATTTGATGAACGGTTGGAATAATAAAAAGTAAATTTTTTCATCAAATTTAAATTTGATGAACCATTAGAGATAGTCTTACAAATCTTGAATACATCCCGAATTAAAATTGTGTAGTTAAAAAATTTATATGATGTAAAATCTATGTATAAAGTAAATCAGAATCACAAATATAATTATTTGGAGAAATTTTTTTTAAAGTCCCTGATATTAAGATTTTATACCATAAAGAACATCATATATTTTCATAATGTCTAAGGTCCCTCAATATCGATGCAAAGAAATTTCAGTCACAGAGAAATTCTGTCCAGAGAAAATCTCTTCAGAGAAATTCTGTCCAGAGAAAATTGAAACTCTCTCCAAAAGAAATTCTCTGGATTCAAACCAGAGAAAATTGAAATTTCTCTGAGTACCAAAGAAATGCAAAGAAAATTGTGGAGAGAAAAATTGTGTGGCTATCCAGGAAAATTCTCTCGCTTCACAAATTTCTCTGGCTCTTTTCTAATTTCTGCATGCCATTTATAGTGCAAAATGCCAAAACTCATTATCTCATCTTTTCAATCACTAACCTCTATAAAATACATCAAACCTTTGATAGCAATAGAAAAATTTAACAACTTCAATGACATCTCCATTACCCAACTGCTATAACATAATTATGACAGTTCAAAACAACAATTCTATTGAATAATAAAAAAATAAGTAACAACAACATGTAAGTTGCTTACTCATGTGTACCGAGTCAACAACTGAAAATAATAAATATAGTAATGAATGTCCAATGTAAATGCACCAAGTTTTTACTTTTCTTGTTTTACTTTTAAAGCTGAGCTGAGAGTAACTACCCTTGAAAAGTTTCCCAAACAATGTTGTTGCTCCTCTTCCAAAAATCTTCTTTTTCTTCTTTAACTTTGTTCTGTGTCATTGGAGAAGCTGTGATAAGGTTGCCAGAGAATATGACAATACCGGCGGTGATAATGTTTGGAGATTCAATAGTGGATATAGGTACTAACAACAATCTTGAAATAATTTTTAAGGTCAATTATCCTCCTCTCTAGAGAAATTTAAATTTCTCTAGCCTTCCACTCTAGAGAAATTTAATAATATCTAAGGTCTAGGGTCTAAGGTCTTTCAAATTAATCCAGAGAAAATTCGACTTCACAGAGAAATGCTGGGACTTTCCAGAGAAAATTTGAAAATTTATCTAACTAATTGTTTTCTCTGCCTTTCATATACTTCCCAATCTCCAGAGAAATTTGAAAATTTATCTGGCTTTCCCGGCTCTCTCACAAAATTACCTCTCCAGAGAAATTTTAAAAATTGTTGAAATTTTAGAAAATAATTTGTGTGGCTTTATCTAGAGAAAATTGTGTTAGAGAAAATTTGTGTGGCTTTGTGTGGCTCTCTCCAGAAAAAATTGTATTAGAGAAAATTTCTATGGCTTTGTGTGGCTCTATCCAGAGAAAATTGTGTAGAGGAAATTTGTGTTTTTGATTAAACCAGAGAAAATTGAAAAAAAAAAAACAGATAAAAGAATTTCTCTGGTTTAGGCATGGAAATACACCAACCAAGCTTATGAATACAAAGTTAGATTTTGCTCACTATTGAATTTTTAGCAACAATTTTTTATGTGTTTTCAAATTTATCTAATTTGGGCTCTTAAACATTTGAACCCAAACATACATCATAAGCAATCCTCCAAAACTTTATTCTCAGAGTAAACTGATATTTATACATAAAGACTCATAACAGTTGCTTATAATGGAGTCTTTGTGTATATCTCAGTAACTGATATAGATATGATAGAGACTTATCTCACCCTTAGAGTAATTACTGAGATAACTAAGGCTTATCTCACGCTCAAAGTAATTGCTTATGATGGAGACTTATCTTCGGCTTATCTCATATTCTTCTCTTATCTTTAGCTTATCTCACACTCAGAGTAATCTTTCAAAATTTTCTCTGCTTTGACGAAACTTAGTGTAAACTTTCTTTGCTTCGGCTTAACTTCTCGACGAAACTTAGAGTAATTGCTTCCAGCTTAAAACTTTCTTTGCTTCGACCAAAACTCAGAGTAAACTCTCATCCAAGAGGGTGACGATGATGGAGATGGAGACGATGGCAGTGGTGAGAAACCGAATATGAGAGAAGAAGATGAGAGAGATAGATCTAGGTAAGGAGAGAGAGAAAGATCTAGGGTTTTAAACTGGTAATTGAGATCGATGAGAGAAAGAGAGAGAAGAGCAATAGGAGAGAGAGATAGAGAGTATGAGATATATAAATTTCTCTGTGAGGACCTTATACATCAAAAAATAATATTGTAGATCTTTTTCATTACTAAAAATGAGAGAGACCTTAAACTAATTTTTTCTAATTATTTTGGATGGTTAATTATGGGTTTGTAATATTAGTGCCTTGTTAAACCTGGCTTGTGACTCTTACGCCGACGATGTCGGTTTAAAATTTTGGGTAATTTATAAAGGTTTTTTTTTTTGGTTAATGCGTGCAATTAAAGCATATATTAATATGTAGGGGTGTTCGCGGATCGGTTTTGTGCGGTTTGCGGTTCGGTTTTGATTTTTTTTTGGTTAATGCGTGCAATTAAAGCATATATTAATATGCTTTGTCTATTTGTATATTATGTATTAAAATTGAGTATAACAGAGTGTAATACTTTTAAGTATCCTTATCATTTGCACACATGCTAACAGGACGTATTTATAAGTCATCGTTAGGGAAGATGTGTTGGGGTGAGCTTTGGTTAAAATAGTCATAAAAATATAAAATAAATTTTTAAATTTTAAGTAAAAATGTATTATATTTAATTTATAATTATTTTATTTTTTTCATAAAAATTTAAAAAAGTCAAAAAACACAAACATCCTATAAAATATTTCATTTATATTAATTTTGACTCGCATTTGATTGGTTAAAAATTTGTTTAATATTGATTCATTAAGTAAATTAATCAAATTTAATTTTGTTAAATTTTTCAAACAAACATTGAACCATTTACTACTTAACTCAATAAATTTATATATACTATAAACAAATAAAATTATTAAAATTTGATTTATATTCATCTCATCAAAAATTCATTCAATATCAAATTATTATGTTAATACGTTAAATTTAAACACAATTTTAAATAACTTATTATTCATCTCTGTTAGACTTGCTCTTAGTTATAAATTGGAGTATTTTGTCTAAATTTTTTAGAGTAAAATACAAATAAACAGAGTTAAATTTGTTTAAAATACAAATTGTCCTCTATAATTTTAAAAATTACAAATATCGCTTTTATCGTAATTTTTTATTTAATAAAATTAATAGGAAAAATAAAATTTCTAACAATTATTTTATACAATAATAAAATTACTTGATTTGTTAATTGAAATACATTTTTAACATTATTAAAAAACAGCAGTGATAGGTAGCTCGAAATGGCTCGAATTCAAAAACGGCCTCATTTTTGAGATGAAGGTGAAGCAGAACCAGAAGTAGGGGAGGGAGGAGGAGGAGGAGGAGGAAGGAGGAGGGACTGGAGGGGGAGGAGGAGGAGGGACTGGAGAGGCCCCAACATTTGGGGCTGGAAGCGGGGGCCGGGGGCGGAGACAAGGCAGAGCCAGCGATCGCTGGCGCTGCGACGATCGGCGGCAGCGAGGCGACGGCGGTGGCGGTGGCGAGGCGAGCAGCGACGATCCTCTCTCCCTCTTTCTCCTCTGTTCTTCCTCTCTTCTCCCCCTCTTTCTCCTCTCTTCTCTCCCTCTTTCGAGCCAATTCGAGCCATTGGATTCGAGTTACGGCTCATTTCCGATTAAAAAATATTAATTGACTTTATAATTTATTAATAAAAATGATCATTTGTTATATAATGAAAAACTTGAAGAGAGATGATGTAATTTATTGAATTATAAACAATAGTTTGTATTTTAAACAAGTTACTTATTTTAGAGTTCGTTTGTGATGAGGGTTACTTTTTTACTATTTTAGTCTGGAGCTAAAAAATGGATATTTGAGAAGAAGTTATTTTAATAGGTTATTTTAATTTTTGGCTATTTTAGTAGGCTAAATTTTTTGTGTTTGAGAAGATAGTTAGATTTTTTTGTAATTGGATATGATATCTGCATATGTTCTGGGCAGTGGATTAAAAGTCACTTTCCAACTTTTAACCCACGTCCCTTTCTCACAAAAAAGCCAAAAAGAAACTTTTAACCATCTTTCCAAAACATCACTTGTGAGAGAAAAAACTGAAATGATTATGAATTTGATGTGACATTTTGTCTTAGTAACTATTTTAACGTATTTTATCTTTTAGTGAATTTTAGCCTAAAAGAGACTAAAATTTTTGTTGTCAAACACGTTTGAATAAGTTTTTTAAGAAAGAGTAGTGATAAAAAAAGAAAAAAGAAAGAGTATCGATAGGTTTCTTGAAATAAACATGAGTAAAAATTTCATGAAATTTTGATTTGAAATTATCTAAATAAGTGTATTTTTTAACTTTTTATGAAAATGTGTGTAAAAAAATAAAAAGGTGATGTTGTCTAAAAAATATAGTACAAAAGATAAAAAGTAGGTACTTATTAATTTATGCCAAACTAACATGGTAGGTTTAACTAGTCTAATTGAATTTTGTTTAAAAAATTTAAAATTTGACATAATTATTTAATAAATTCATTAAAATGAAAATAATCTAACTAAAAAAGACAAAAGCAGTTCCTAAAACATTGGACATGTTTTAGTTGGCTAGTCCAAAGTTTTGTATTTGTTTTTGTTTTTGTTTTTATTTTTTTTGTGGGGTTTTTTCTAATCTGATAATTGTATGATTTGAAACAAATTCAACTGAAATGGAATTAAATTGGGAGATATAGGGATAAAGCTAACATGAGGAGCTAATTTGATAATTATATTACTAATAATATTTTTTCTACAAAAATTAACAAAACGTCTAATTTTGATCCCAACAAATGAAAGCTAAGGTAACATATGTAACACAAAACAAACAAATTGAGAGAGAGAGAGAGAGAGAGAGTCAAAGGAGGGTAATGAGGATGAAAAGAAGAAGAGCAGCAATGAATGAATACTTGAGAGCTGCAACAATTATAGCCACTGATATGAAGAACAGTTGCCACAACACTTGCACACTCGCCCATGCCAGTAACCCCGTCAATCCAACGGCCAATATGTTATCAGGATTTGGGTCCAGCAACAGATCTCCCCATCTCAGATTAAACGCTGGCCGTCCATTCCTCCTCTTCCTCTCCTCCTCATCACCAACATTCATCTTCTTATTCTGGTTGTCAATGCCATCATCATCTTTGTTCTTTTCTATCTCCTCCTGCTCCTTGGGATCTGCGATCGGCTCATTATTCCCATTCTCTGCAGCGACCACAATTTTTCTGGGTTTTCTAGGGTTTTTTCCTTTCTGAAATTGGGATTTGAGGGTTGAAGATGATGGTAGTAATTTAGGGTTGGTAATAGGGGGAAGAAAAATAGGGAGGGGTTTGGGTTTGGGTATTGATGGGATTGAAATATTATTGATGGCGGGTTGGTAATGGGATTGTATGGAAGCAGCAGCAACAGAGTACGCAAACATGTTTTCCCGGGAAAATGGATTTCGAGAAAATAAAACCCAGTGAATGCAAAGCAAAGAAAGGTGCAAAGCCGCAATCTAGAAAGACTAGAAAAAATTGATATTTGTCGAAATGGTAATTTTTTAGTGGTAAATTTTTAAGGACAAATACTTGGATTTTTTTGAAAAGTACTAAAATAGGTAATTAAACATAGGAGTCATCAAATACTTATTGAAAAACAAATGGATTAAGAGAGAGGGGTGGTGTTGATACCTACCCACTTTCATTCTCTATCAACGGATTTTGCTAAATTTATACCCATACAAATAGAGAATATATATATTGGTCTCCGATCTCTAGAAGTGAATGTAGATAATCACTATATTATCGACGTGGAGGCACTTAAAAAATAATCTTACATATAGGTACGGTTAGGGAGACTAAAGGTCTCGTTTGTGAATAGTTTTTTTTAATAATTTTTTAATTAAAATATGATGTAAAAAAATTAATATATTTAGAATAATTTTTTATTTAAAGATAAATAAAAAGTAGAAAAAAAAAACTTCAAACTTTTTTAGTATATCTCGTTTGGGAAGTAGCTATTTTAGTAGACTATTTTAGTTTTTGGCTATTTTAGTAGGCTAAAATTTTTGTGTTTGGGAAGATGATTGGATTTTTTTGTGGTCGGATGTGATGTTTGTGAGAGAAAAAGTGAAATAATTATGGGTTTGATGTGATATTTTGTCTTATTCTTTTTAATTTTTTTAATAATTTTTTATTTTTAATTTTTTTAATAATTTTTTATTTTTAAATTAAAAAATAATATTGTCAAACAAGATCTCAAATGAGTTTTGGAACACATATAGAAAAAATCTAAAGATATTTACATGTAGGTCCTAATAAATAAATTTATTGTCTAATAGATTTTATAGGAAAAATTTATCATAAAAAGTCGCTAATTATAAGTTTTAGCGACAATTTATAAAAATCATAACAAAAAAAAGTCATTAATTGTTAATTTTTAACGACATATATAAAAAATTATCATAAAAAAATTATTTTTAGCGACAATTTTATCAAAATTTATTTTCAATAGGACAATGAAAATTAAGGTCTCGTTTGGCAAGTGCCCTTTTAGCCATAAAACTAAAAAATTACTAAAAAAATAAAAAAGTCAACAAGTCATACTAAAGTCAAAGATTCTATTTTCTCTTTACTTTTTGCATAACTCTTCATAAAAAATCAAAAATTATCTCAAACATACTAATTTTTTTACATCATATTTTAACCAAAAAACTAAAAAACTAAAAAATTACTAAAAAAATCTGTTCTTAAACGAAACCTAAGTCCAATTATTAAAAGCTATTTAGTAGTTTATCCAAAATGCAAGCTATTTAGTAGTTTATCCAAAATGCGAATCTAAACTAATAACAATGAGTCACTATTCATCACCAGCAACAATATAAATAAATAATCTCTTAAAACAACAATAAAAATTTAACATGGAATTATAAATCCATAAATAATATAAAACTAAAATTTTTTGAAGCTCCAAATCAAAGTCCAATTTTTTTTTTTTTGATTTCGAATCTACTTTCTCAATCAAAATCCTAGCTTTATAATCTAGATTAAAAATTAGATTTCAAGTTTGGAGGAGGAACCTGGTTCAATCTATGGCGTGAAAGAGCTCCGGCGGACAACAATGGCCGATGGACGGTGGCCGCCGGTGGAGAACGGCGACGGTGGCTGAGATGGTTAACCGGTGCGTCTCTCTCTCTCTCTTCGTTTGCTGTCTCTCTCCTCTTTCACGCTTTCAGCCAAAATTTGGTTTTAATTTTTAATTTTTATTTTTTTAATGAAGTGATCTGAGCCGCCCATATCAATTAAAAAACCCTAACAGTATTTTTCGGAAGCTAGGAGAGAAAAGAAAGTACTACCCACAAAAAAAACCCCTAAGTATTACCAGAGGCTTCCAAAACGCCAAGGGCTTTTGGGGGATTTCCATTTTGTTCTTCTGAGTTCAGAAAAAAGGAAAAGAAATCTCTCAATTCATATAACTGTGGCAGGTGGGTCTCCATTTTCCTCCACACTCACTTTCTCTTTTTATTCTGTAAATTTTTCTTTTTTCGAATTCTGTCTGTTGTTTGGTATCTAAGTAAATGTAGGATTGTAAAACTAAATGAAAGAAAATGTTTGAACGTCTTGGTTTTTGGTGCTCAACTGGTAGGAAAGAAAAACAAGTCATTCAGTTGTTTTTCCTGTCATTCAATTGCTGAAATAATAAAATGGTCTTATTCACAATCCCACTCTATAACTTACAAAAAAAAAAAAACTAATTTTGTATTCAACTTCTCACATAATTTGTTTCTGAGAGCATCTACAATGCTCACTCCCTTAATCAAATTCGAGCGAAAATTTGTTTAAAAGTTTGATCAGATGTGGAATACTCTAATCCTTATATTTTTTCAAAAAAAATCTCAATTTATCCTAAAACCCTGTTTTGACCATTTTTTATGAAAGAAAATCATCTCCAATCCTATTTTAAAATTTCATCAAATTTAATTAAAAGTATCACTGTTGAAAATTTGGTGAAGGATTTGGTTCATCATTTTAGTGAACTTTTTTGCCTCTCCCTTGATTTGATACAAGTTTGATGAAATGATTGGAGCTTACTTATTCATCAAATATGAATTCGATGAAAGAATTGATGAAGGATTGGAGATACTCTGAGGTTTAGAATATAAGTAATGTATTGAGTTGAAAACTTTCATGCAGAAAGTGTAATTGTAAGCTTAGGATTCCCAGTGCTTCATGAGATTTGTTGAAGTCTTTGCATACGCAGTCATTGTTTGTCTTGTCAAATTAATTTTTTCAGTATCTTGATTGACAATTTTCCTTACTGTTGCACATCTCTGTTTGCAGGAAAACATCAAAGAGCTCTAGTTGGTACGGTAGGTTTGTTAGTTAAATGAACTAATCCTTAGTCTTGAGAAGAAAAGAAGCTGACTGACCTGTTACCAATCTTTGTAGTATAGTGTTGCATACGTGTTTCCAGTCATGTGGTCGGTACCCACCTGCTGCGTTTTTACACATAACACATACATCTCTAGTGTATGCCGTCTTCTTCATGTTATTTGCTACCCAGAGGCCTTTCTCTCTCCCAAATCCAGAATTTCATCCCTAAGAAATGGAAACAAAGTGTCAAACCATCAGAAACTCAAAACACTAACCCGTCTGACTTATATAATTACCGAGATTCATTGCTAGTAGCATCTCCAACCAGTGAACTTGATGGTTATATGGTTGATTCTCTTCTCACATCTCTCAAAGATTTTGTTGCCAAAGGCCATCTGTTTCAAGCCTTCCAGACCTTCACTCTCCTCCAATGCCATTCTTCTTCTTCTTATTGTATTTCTTCTGACCTTATTTTGCATTCCATATCTTCTCTTTTGATATCTTGCACCAACTTAAAGTCACTTTCACAGGGTAAACAACTCCATGCCTATATTATATCTTCCGGTTTTGAAGAACATCCCATATTGGTTCCGAAGCTGATTACCTTTTACTCAACCTTTAATCTCTTTGCTGATGCCCATGTTATTACTGAAACGTCAAAAATATTGCACCCTTTGCCCTGGAATTTGCTTATCTCTTCTTATGTTAGAAAGGGGCTTTCTGGGGGGGCTCTATCTACCTATAGACAAATGGTGAACAAGGGAATTAGAGCCGATAACTTTACTTTCCCATCAGTTCTCAAGGCTTGTGGTCAAGAACAAAATATGGATTTTGGGAGGGTGGTTCATAAGTCTATTGATGCTAGCTGCCTTGAGTGCTTGTTTGTGCAAAATGCTTTAGTCTCCATGTATGGGGCGTGTGGGGAAGTTGATTATGCTCGGAAGCTGTTTGACAAAATGCCTGAAAAGGATGCAGTTACTTGGAACTCAATGATCTCTGGATATGCCTCCAAGGGTATGTGGGGAGAAGCTTTTGAGCTTTTTGAAGGCATGAGAATGGAGGGAATAGAATTGAATATCATAACATGGAATACCATAGCTGGAGGGTGCTTGAAAACAGGAAACTATATTTGGGCACTTGAATTGCTTTCTCAGATGGTGACTTGTGGCATTCTTCTGGATTCTGTTGCAGCACTTATTGGTTTGGGAGCATGTTCCCATGTGGGTTTATTAAAATTGGGGAAAGAGATTCATTGTGTAGCTATTCGTAGTCATTTTGCTGAGTTTGATAATGTAAAAAATGCTTTGATCAATATGTATGCCAGGTGCAAAGACCTTGGGCATGCAAATATTTTGTTCTGGTCAGTAGAAGCTAAAAGTGTAATTAGTTGGAACTCCATTATTTCGGGTTACACGTATTGGGACTGCTCTGAGGAAGCCTCCTTTCTATTTAGGGAAATGTTGCTTTCTGGGATTGAACCTAATTATGTGACAATCGCAAGTGTTCTTCCCCTCTGTGCCCGTGTGGCAAATCTGCAACATGGTAAAGAGTTTCATTGCTACATTACAAGGCGTGCAGGGTTCAAGGATTATTTACTACTTTGGAATGCTCTTGTGGATATGTATGCCTGATCTGGAAAAGTTTTACAAGCAAAAAGACTGTTTGATTTGTTGAGCAAGAAGGATGAAGTGACTTACACTTCATTAATAGCTGGGTATGGGATACAAGGAGAGGGACATGCTGCAGTAGAACTATTTGAAGAGATGATCAGGTGCCAGATAAAACCGGACCATGTAACCATGGTTGCTATTTTATCAGCATGTAGTCATTCGGGTCTTGTAATCCAAGGTCAAATGCTATTTAAAAAGATGCTGCACGTCTATGGTTTAACTCCGAGACTGGAGCACTATGCTTGCATGGTTGATCTCTTTGGTAGGGCTGGTTTACTGAAGAAAGCAAAAGGGATTATCACAAGGATGCCTTACCAGCCAAGCGCTGCAATGTGGGCCACTCTTATTGGAGCATGTTGCATCCATGGAAACACAGAGATAGGGGAATGGGCAGCTGAGAAATTGTTGGAAATGAGGCCTGAAAATTCAGGATACTATGTTCTGATTGCTAACATGTATGCTGCTGCTGGATGTTGGAACAAGTTAGCTAGAGTGAGAACTTTCATGAGGGACTTAGGTGTGAGAAAGGCTCCAGGCTGTGCTTGGGTTGCTGTGGGTTCTGGATTTTCTCCCTTTTTGGTGGGGGACACATCAAATCCCCAAGCACACGAGATTTACCCTTTATTGGGGGGATTGATCAAGCAAATGAAAGATGCTGGTTATGTTGTTGCAGAGGATGTTGATTTAGATAATGAATTTGAGCAATATAATCAGCAACAATACTTCTGTTAGAAAATTAAGTTGTTGCATATTTCATGCGCATTGTCCTCAAGAGCCTTCTGAAATGCCATTCTTGGTTCATATGGTAATAACCTTGAAAATTTATGAAATTTAAATAGTCTTCATTTTCTTTTGGTTTTCTTTCATAAGTATTATAGATAGTTGTTTTTTGGCCTTCAATGAAGTTATTTATTTTATTAGTTATGGTTATTTTTTTTGTTTGATGTATATTTTTGTGGCTGTTCTGGCTTTTCTCATATATGCTTTGTCTCTCTAATTGGTAAGCGCTGTTCGAATTATCCCCACCCTTACTTTTTTTAGAGCTAGATTTGCACATAAACATGTGGCTTACTTTTATTCCACATGTTCATTAACAGGGAGGATTGGTTTATATGTTTAGTATATAAAAGTTTTACACAATCCGTTTCATATGCCTCAGTGCACCATATTTGTGGATTAATTGTGAGAATTGGTTTTATGCTTAGTGTATGAGGATTTCGTTTAATATGTTATGTTTCGAAACCTATTTATGGTCACATGCCTTTGTGTGCCATACAGACATGTATGGCTTCTATTTCGTTTAATATGTTAGTATTTTTTTTCTTCTCTGTTTTGGACCTGAGATTCTTATTTCAATGGTCTAGTGGATCTGTTTTAGGGTTTAGCTATTTTTGTAGGCTTTAGAAGTTAGCTTTTTTGATAGGCCTTAGCCTTCTCAATTTTCTTTTCCTTTTTTCATGACTGTCTCCTATATTTAGCCTTCTCAATCTCATCCAAATATATTTCACTTTCCCATGAGCTATCTCACAACTCCCTTTCCACTAAAAAATAAAAAATTAATTGACATGCTGTGATAAGTTTCAAAACCAGGAGTATCCCACTTTGTAAGTTGTTGAGATGTTCAATTTGAAATGCTTTTACTTAAGATGAAGACTACAGATGCTGAGGAAACTACGATTTAAGACGTTTTTCTGCTGAAAATATTGGTAACTTACTCCTAGTTAATTTTATTGGGCATGGTTATATATGTAAAATAATTTTGGTGCACAGGTAAGATGGAGTTATATTATGGACAAGTCAGTACCTGATCCGCCAACAGCTGTTCTTCTGCATGGCATTCTAGGTAGCAGGAAGAACTGGGGTAGGTACTTTATTATCTTTTGCAACTATTCCAAAAGCAGTCTTGGATTTCAGTTCTCTACCTGTGATTGTGAAAAAACCCAGATTGCACGATACAGTGTTATATGATTATGTCATGTGTGCCAGACCTTCCTTCTGTCCATGCTCTCAACACAATATTTTGATAAGACAAATTGGCTTCTTTTTTTATTTATTTTTTTTATTTTAAAAAAAATTCCTGTTGAGCATGCACTATCTTAATGACATGACTTTAATTATTAATTTATTAGACTTCAAACAATCTTGTTTGAATTAGAATTGTTATTAGAAGTGAAAAGTGACAGATCTTGTTTCCAGGTTAGTATGTATGTTAGTCCTGAAGAGACTTTTTTGACTTGCATGGGTTTGATTTGACCTTTGTATTTGGTTATCAAGGGAAATTTGTTGACTTATTTGGAACATCATAGATTAATGTTGAAGACTTGTGTAACAGGAACCTTTGCTCGAAGATTGGCACAAGAATTTCCAACGTGGCAGGTATATTTCTGTGAATATATTCTTGGTTTTGTGTTATTTTACATATTCTTGCATGGTTTTGTTTCCCTTATGCATTCGCCGACCACAATATCTCTCCCTCTCAGTTGCTTCGCGATTGATTCGCGTTGGTATCTCTAATAACTGGTTGTCTATATTGATAACAATAGTGTTCTGCTTATTACTCTTTTACCCCAAGGTTCTCTAGCTTGCTCTTATGGAACCTCCTCGTCTTATAGCCCTCGATGCTTATGTGAAGTCTAGGGAGGAGGGTTGTTTGGTGCAATTCTTGACGACTCTCTCTCTTTAGTACGAGGCTATCCGTGGTGTCATCCTTCACCGTTCTCCTCTCCCTTCTGTGGATGCTATTATTCGTGAGCTTCTTTCAAAAGAAACCCGTCTCAAGATGGCCAGTTAGACCGTGTCTCCTTCAGTCTTCTTAGCACAGCCACCCCTATTGGCGACTCTTAGTCATCAAAAGGGTCATTAGAAGTACAACTGTCCCAAGAAGGGACGTTCGTTTTCTTAGCAGTCTCAATCTCAGTTCCGCACTCTTACTCAGGGGTCTTTTCGGCCTCCCGCTGCTTGTATTGCCTCCATTCCGGCTTCGGCTTTGACTCCAGGTCCTGATTTGGCTTCCTTGAGTATTCAGCTTGCTCAACTTCAACAGATCACTTGTCCACCTCTCAATCATCTTCATCTGCCTCTGCTCTTACCTCTCTTTCTTCAGGTATTCCTTACTTTATCTGGCTTTTTGATTCTGGTGCCTCTTATCATAGGACTCCTCACATTTTCTTACTTCAAAACTGTATCCCCCCTCCCTTTCCTATTACTATTAATACTGCTAATGGGTCTGGTATGTCTGTCCTATCTATTGGGTCTGTCTTATCCTTTGCCATGTCCGTTGTTACTATTCTCTCTGTTCTTTATATTCCGCAATTATTTGTTAGCTTGCTTTCTATTAGTCAGCTTGATGCTTCTGGTTTTGATGTTATCTTTTCTTTTTCTGTCTGTTGTGTGCAGGATCGGATGTCCAAAAAGCAGATTGAGATCAGCCGTAGAGTTGGAGATCTCTATATGGTGGAAAGCCTGCATCTTCCTCTGTCTACCTCCCCCCGTTGCACTTTCATCTTTTCAATTAGATTCTGAGTCAAGTCAGTTTTATTTATGGCATTCTCGCTTAGGTCATTTGTCTGTTGACCGTTTGCGATTTTTAACTCAGTCAGGATTGTTAGGTAAAGTTTCTCTTAGTCAAATTGATGAGTGTCGAGAATGTAAACTTGCTAAAATGACAGCTATACCTTTTAATAACAGTACTTCTATTTCTGCTTCCCCTTTTTTTTTTTGTACAGACTGATGTCTGGAGACCTTCTCCTGTTCTCACTAAAGGGGGTTCTGCGTACTATGTGTCATTTGTTAATGATTGTACCCGTGCTATACCTGGGTTTATTTTATGGCTCATAAATCTGACTTCTACTAGATATATCGTACCTTTCAGGATATGATCACTGCACAGTTTGGAGCCACAATTAAAATAGTCCAGTCTGACTTGGGTGGGGAATACTTTAAAATTGAATTCTGTGAGTATTTAGCTACATTGGGCACCATTCACTAAACCTCTTGTACTAATACCCCTGCCCAAAATGGTCATGCTGAGCGTAAACACCGTCATCTCCTTGAGACAGCTCGATCTCTCCTTCTCTTTGCCTTTGTTCTGGCACCATTCTAAGGTGAGGCAGTTCTTACCATTGCCTTCCTCCTTAATCCTATGCCGACTCCCATACTCTCCGGTCAACCCCTTTATAAGGCTCTGTATTCCCAACCTCCCAATTATTCCCTCCTATGTGTCTTTGGGTCTACTTGTTTTGTCCTTCTTTTCCGTAAAGATAGGACCAAACTCAGTGCCAGGTTTGTCTTGTGTGTCTTTTTGGGTTGCAGTTTTACTCATAAAGGCTACCGCTGTTACGATCCTGTCTCTCATCGCCTTTATGTCTCCCGTCATGTTGCCTTTCTCGAATGTCTGTCTCACTTTCAGTTTCCCCCCTCACTGCTCCCGTTTTCAAAGAGGATTTGGTTCACATCGACCCATTTCCTTCAGAGGTTCCGTCTGATGAGTACATTTCTACTGTTCCTCTTGAGGTCATTCCTACTTCTCCGTCTGCGTCACCCATAGCTCCTTCTCCTTCGCCTTTTTATATAAATAATGTGGTCTGTTTCAAATTTTATATATAAATAAAGTGGTATTTTTTTTTTTTGGAATTGTTATTATTCATACATCTCAATACTATATTTTATGGATTCCAACCAGACCCACAACAATAATCTAAATCATTCCTATTGCAGGCTCAGCAATAAAGATGAGCTGTGTAAAAAATCAATTTCATTCAATGTCATAAACATATGAATAAATTACATTATATTTTTTTAAATGAATGACAACTAGGAGTTTAACTTTCAATTATCTATTTTATAATAGACTGATGGTATATACAAATAAAATTTTCATATATAATGATGTAACTTAATGATACATTTCACTTTAAAACAAAGGATTTTTGGCGGAACCCCCCTTTTGGGCCTTTTTATTAGGGTAAAGGATAACCCAATTAATTTTCTTTCAAAAAGTCCCTGAGTAAGAAATGCTTAACTTAATAAGGACATTTTATTATTTCTAATTTTTTTTTTATCACAATATTGCCCTTATATAGTATCATACGTAAAAATTTGAAATCTGAGTTCCAAATCGATCATACTTCACAAAATCGATGAAGACGATTTTCAGATCTGAAGATCTCGCAGCCGAACATCTCTCACTTGTTCAACAATAGACGATCTCGCAGCCGAACATCTCTTACTTGGTGGCCGATGACCAACACTCTCAATTAAACGAAAGTTTCATTGAGATTTGTGATTGTTGATCGAGTTGTAGAGGTTTTTCTTCTCAATTAGGTATATTGATTTGTAATGAATTTTTTTTATTTTTGTTTGTTTGATTTATTTTTGTTGTGTTTGATCTGATTTCGTTTGACAGAATCAAAGTAAAATTTTACTCTGGTTCTATTGCTGTGCCTTTTGTTTCAGAGAATCAGAGTAAAATTTTACTCTGGTCTGAATCCTCTGTTTACAATGAGAGTAAAATTTTACTTTTATGCAGAGTTCATTTTCTATATCAATGATATTCTCACACTTGTGGAGAATAAAATGGTAAAACCATATTATGACGATGACAACTAAAGGACCTAAAGAAGTCATTAAGTGGTATTTGGGTATTTTCACATAAAATAAAATAAAAAGTCAATGCTAAATGTAAAGTAAAATTATGTCATTTTAGCCGAAATGTTAAAAAAAAAACACTAAAAAAAGACAACCATGTAAACAGAGCAATCAAGCAGAGTAAAATTTTACTCTGATATAGGAATAAAACGTTACAAAAGGAATCTCAAAGTACATAAAAGTAAAATTTTACTCTGCATAAGAGTAAAATTTTACTTTGAATTTAAGAGTAAAAATGTTGTGGCCTGAATTTGAAAGTAAAATTTTACTCTGCATAAAAGTAAAATTTTACTCTCATTGTAAACAGAGGATTCGGACCAGAGTAAAATTTTACTCTGATTCTCTGAAACAAAAGACACAGCAATAGAATCAGAGTAAAATTTTACTCTGATTCTATCAAACGAAATCAGATCAAACACAACAAAAATAAATCAAACAAACAAACAAAAAAAAAATTCATTACAAATCAACATACCTAATTGAGAAGAAAAACCTCTACAACTCGATCAACAATCACAAATCTCAATGAAACTTTCGTTTAATTGAGAGTGTTGGTCATCGGCCACCAAGTAAGAGATGTTCGGCTGCGAGATCGTCTATTGTTGAACAAGTGAGAGATGTTCGGCTGCGAGATCTTCAGATCTGAAAATCGTCTTCATCGATTTTGTGAAGTATGATCGATTTGGAGCTCAGATTTCAAATTTTTACGTATGATACTATATAAGGGCAATATTGTGATAAAAAAAAAATTAGAAATTATAAAATGTCCTTATTAAGTTAAGCATTTCTTACTCAGGGACTTTTTGAAAGAAAATTAATTGGGTTATCCTTTACCCTAATAAAAAGGCCCAAAAGGGGGGTTCCGCCAAAAATCATTTGTTTTAAAATGAAATGTATCATTAAGTTACATCATTATATATGAAAATTTTATTTGTATATACCATCAGTCTATTATAAAATAGATAATTGAAAGTTAAACTCCTAGTTATCATTCATTTAAAAAAATATAATGTA